CCTCTTTGATATATCCTGGCATTTTCTCATAGTTTGCCCGAGGATCTTTCTTCATGTTCTCAAACGTAGCCTGTCTCACCACGCTTTCCACTTCCTCTTCACTCAACTGCTTGCCCAGGAAGTTGCAGATCTTGAGCACAACACTTCTGAGATCCTACAATCAATGTCATATTCAAAATGTCTTGATGATGCAAAGAGCCAAAGCGTRGCGAAAGAAAAAACACAAATGACATAAATACGCCTTCAAATCTGTTTTGTGAGAGAGTGCTTGTGCCTCATTTGAGCAACTGAGTGCAGTACTGTCTCAAATAGCTATTCTGTTCCTCACACTGTACACTCCTTGTGTGTCTCATGGTAGATGCTTTGGATTGGATCTAGATAGATGCAAGAGTCTGGGATGAAAAAGGAAGGGATTGAATCTGTAATTTGTCCCACCTGTTGTCCTAACTAAGGCCTCGACTCCCCTTTGTGAGCAGCCCCAGGCTGCAGTCTGGGCAAGTGGTGGACATTATGTGCACTGTGCTGCTGTCCCCTTTCCCAGGGCAGGGAGAAGGGCAGCCAGTGCACAGAAATAACAAGTCTCACCAAGGCATGAGGAGCAACTGGTAGGAAATCATGGTCAGCAGTTGCAGARCTCYACAAGTTGCYTCTGGCAAGTTGCCTCTTAAGCACTACTGTCCTTTAGAGGAACTGTCCTTATGAACATAACATGGAAGGTACCTTGTAAAGATCTTATTACTGTCCTGTTTCAGAAGTTATTTTTGCGATGGTAGAGGGGCAGACTTCTGCCGTACTGCAAAGGGCTTCATAGAATCCTTCCATAGGAAGTGCTAAGACCTGGGCACCAATGAGACACGTGAGTATCTCCTTACAAGCATCATCTATTTGAATCTATTCCTCAAGGGATTTAGGGCTTTCTAGTATGAACTCTTATCACAGAGGCCTATCTGAAACTACTCTAGAACCAGGGGGAGAATATTTGGAATGCAGTGATATCTAACCCATCTCACCTTTTTCATTTCTTCGTAGGTAAGGAAGAGTATATTGAAATCCTGAGCGTGGCTGTACCAGCCTGTAACGTGATCCATCCACGAACTACCCATGACTTTCCCAGGCAGATAATAGTAATCATTTGAAAAAAAAAAAAAAAAAGAGAGAGCGAGAGAGAAATGCAATTAGCAGGATAAATACTGTAGATTTATAATGTATTTTCCTACCTTCACTACTTATGATGACAGAAATTCAGTGATTTCCACGTTTTTTTTTCTTGAGGCTTGGCAGCTAGCTGTACTCAAATAGGAAGAATTTGGAAGGACTTTGCAAGTGAATAGCAAAATATTACATGTGCACCATACCCTTCTACATCTTCGGAAAGTTTATTTTAGGTTTTCATTTTTCTGCTGTTTGAGGGATTTCCTTCTGATATTTTGACCAGATGATCACATGTCTTTGGGTGACAAACCTGCATGCTGATGGGGTCAAATTGATCTGCTTCCTGTTTTTGTCATAGTGCCTATTTTCTGTGTCCATGTCTAATTGGGAAAGAATAAGTCCCTCGCACTTTGCTGGAGAACAGCAAATCTCTACTTATTATATCCCCTCTGGGCATGATTTCTACCCTCAGATGCATTGCTCTGAGGATTCAAAGAG